AGCCTTCTGGATCTGCTGGGCATCCATCTTTTCCAGAGAGAATGCAAAGTCCTTTCTGTCCTTCAGGCAGGAGAGAGGGGAGAGTCTCCTCATTTGTGCCAGGAGTGTCAAGGCTCTCTTGTTTCTGATGTTATGAGTCTGAAGCAGGTCACATCCCAGAGAGCAGGTTGACCAGTAGTCCATCAACACCAAGATAATCAGGAAAGCACAGGGTCTAGCCATTGTGGATACTGTAGATGCTGCTGATCCTCTGGGCTCTGAAGTCCTGAATGTTCCCCTCTGGTTCTCTGAAAACCATATGTTGAGCATCTATCTTAAATAGGGAAAAATAATAGTTTCCCTTTTCTGAATGCCTCCCTCACTTCCCAGTTGTCTTTTCACTTTCTTGAACTCATTCTCTGCTTGTTTCTGGGATTTTTTCTAAACCATTTTGTTTTCATCTTTGCTTCCCCTTTCATTGCTGCCCTCAGAAAGCTGTTTTGCAGCCTTTCTTTTTATAAATAGAATTGTCATTAACTATTACTCCACAGATACACATTCCATGTTTGAAATTTAAAGGTAAAATTTCCTCTAAAATTGTATTTAAAAAGTTATTGACATTCATTTTACATTAATTTGTGTTTTATTATATCATTTAAATAAATACTTAAATCATAATGTAAGGTATGATGCCACTTGTTTCTAAATTGAAAGTATTGATGTAATGATATACATCAGCTTGCCTTCATTAACTCTAATGTTAATTTATATAACATGCTAATTGAATCATCAGTGTATCTTCTTTATTCATCCAATGAATGTCATGTCATCATGAGGACTTGATGTGTAAAGGCTTGCTGCTCAAGCTTGGTGAAATGAATTTGATTCTTGAAATCCATGCTTGAAATAGAGAAACTGACTCTTGTAAGTTGGACTTCGATGACCACATTCACACTACACACACACACACACACACACAATGCATGCACACACACAAAGACCCTCACACCATCATTTACATAAACACTAACACAGATACATACTGGTTCATTCATGAGTGCACATGCATATTTCCACATACACAATGCCACAAATATAAACATACATACACACATACCATCATACACAATCACACACATACACAGATAAACATTCTCATACAAAACACACACACATAAATACACACTCACAGACACAGAGAAATATAGACACACACTCTCACACAAATATGTACATATATACTCACACAGACACACACAAGTAAATACACATGTGTACCCACTCACACATATACAGGCACATGCACATATAATACACATGATCTCACAACACACACACATATCAACACACTCTACCACACATGCATACACATATATACACACACACACACACACACACACACACACACACACACACACACACACATACACGCAATCTCTCTCACACATATAAAACACAATTTTCAACACACAAACACACAAAGATTCATACCCAAACACATGAGTGCATACAAATGTACACATTCCCACACTTACAAATATATTCACACACCATCATTTAAACATAAATATACATACATATACTCAAACAGACACTCAGGGTACTGTGTTCTATGCCTTACAGAACCTTCTCATTTTCAAGAGGTCCCATTTATTAATTGTTGATCTCAGTGGCTGTGCTACTGGTGTAATGTTCAGGAAGTGGTCTCCTGTACCAATTCATTCAAGGGTACCTCCCAGTTTCTCTTCTAAGAGGTTCAGTGTGGCTGGATTTATGTTGAGGTCTTTCATCCATTTAGACATAAGTTTTGTGCTTGGTGATAGATATGGATCTATCTGCAATCTTCTACATGCCAGTATCCAGTTATGTTAGCACTATTTGTTGAAGATGTTTTCTTTTTTATTTTAATTTTAGCTTCTTTGTCAAAAATCAGGTGTTCGTAGTTGTGTGGGTTAATATCAGGATTTTCAATGTGATTCCAATGGTCTGCCTGCCTATTTTTGCACGAATACCAACCAAGCTGTTTTCAGGACTATAGCTCTATAATAGAGCTTGAAGACAGAGATGGTGATGCCTCAGGAAGTTCTTTTATTGTAGAGGGTTGTTTTGGTTATCCTGGGGTTTTTTTTCCATATAAACTTGAGGATTATTCTATCAAGGTCTATGAAGAATTGTGCTGGTATTATGATGAGGACTGCATTGACTCTGTAGGTTGCTTTTGGCAAGATTGCCATTTTTACTATGTTGATCCTACCTATCCAACAGCATGGGAGACCTTTCCATTTTCTGGGATCTCCTTTAATTTCTTTCTTTAAAGACTCAAAGTTCTTGTTATACAGGTCTTTCACTTGTTTGGTTAGCGTTAACCCAAGGTATTTTATGTTGTTTGTGGCTATAAAGGGTGATGTTTATCTGATTTCTTTCTCAGCCCCTTTATTGTCTGTATACAGTATGGATACTGATTTTTTGTGTTAATCTTGTGTCCTGCCACTTTGCTGAAAATGTTTATCAGCTGTAGGGGCTCCCTGGTAGAATTCTTTGGGTCACTTATGTAAACTATCATATCATCTGCAAATAGTGAAAGTCTGACTTCTTCCTTTCCAATTTGTATCCCCTTGATCTCCTTTTGTTGTCTTATTGCTCTAGCTAGTACCTCAAGTACAATATTGAAGAGGTATGGAGAGAGTCGACAGCCTTGTCTTGTTCCTGATTTTAGAGAAATCGCTTTGAGTTTCTCTCCATTTAGTTTGATGTTGGCTGTTGGTTTACTGTATACTTTTTTTATTATGTTCAGGTATGTTCCTATTATTCCTGATCTCTCAAGGACCTTTATCATGAAGGGGTGTTGGATTTTGCCAAAGGCTTTTTCAGCTTCAAGAGAGATGATCATGTGGTTTTTCTTTTTCAGTTTGTTTATATGTTGGATTACATTGATGGATTTTCATATATTGAACCATCCCTGCATCTCTGGGGTGAATCCTACTTGATCATGGTGGTTGATTTTTCTGATGTGTTCTTTGATTCGATTTGCTAATATTTTAGCAAGTATTTTTGCATCAATGTTCATGAGAGAGATTGGTCTGTAATTCTCTTTCTTAGTTGTGTCTTTGTGTGGGTTAGGTACCAAGGCAACTGTAGCCTCATAGAAAGAGTTTGGCAATGACCCTTCTGCTTCTATTGTGTGGAATACATTGAGGAGTATTGGTATTAGCTCTTCTTTGAATTTTGTGGTAGAATTCTGTACTGAAACTGTCTGGGCCTGAGTGAAAATCTTTTTGGTTGGGATACTTTTGATGACTACTTCTATTAGGGGTTATAGGTCTATTTAAATTGCTTATGTGTTCTTGAATTAAGTTTGGTAAGTGAAATCTATCCAGAAAATTGTCCATTTCCTTCAAATTTTCAAATTTTGTGGAGTACAGTTTTTCAAAGTATGACTTGATGATTCTCTAGATTTCCTTAGTGCCCGTTGTTATGTCCCCCTTTTCGTTTCTGATTTTGTTAATTTGCATGTCCTCTCTCTGCCTTTTGGTTAGTTTGGATAAAGGTTTGTCTATCTTATTGATTTTCCCTAAGAACCACCTCTTTGTTTCATTGATTCTTAATAGTTTTTCTTTGTTTTTACTTTATTGATTTCAGCCCTCATTTTGATTATTTCCTGGCATCTACTCCTCCAGGGTGAGTTTGCTTCTTTTTGTTTTCAAGCTGTCAGATGTGCTGTTAATTCTCTAGTGTGAGTATTCTCTAGTTTCTTCATGTTGGCACTTAGTACTATGAACTTTCCTCTTAGCACTGCTTTCAAAGTGTCCCATAATTTTGTGTATGTTATGTCTTCATTCTCGTTGAATTATAGGAAGATTTAATTTCTTTTTTAAGAATTTCTTGTCACGCCTTTAATCCCAGCACTCAGGAGGCAGAGGCAGGCAGATCTCTGTGAGTTCAAGACCAACCTGGTCTACAAGAGCTAGTGCCAGGACAGCCTCCAAAGCCACAGAGAATCCCTGTCTCTGAAAACCAAAAAAAAAAAAAAAAAAAAAAAAAAAAAAAAAAAAAATTCTTCATTTCTTCCTTGACCCAGGAGTTTGTAGGGTTTCTGAAGTTTGTGTTGTTGTTGACTTCTAACTTTAAACCATGGTGATCTGATCTGATAAGACACAGGGAGTTATTCCAATGTTTTGGATCTGTTGAGGTTTGCTATGTTGCTGAGTACGTGGTCAGATTTAGAGAAGGTTCCATGTGACGCTGAGAAGAAGACATATTCTTTTGTGCTTGGATGGAATGTTCTATAGATGTCTGTCAAATCCAATTGGGTCATAACTTCTGTTAATTCCTTTGTTTCTTTGTTAAGCTTCTGTGTGGTTGCCCTGTCTAATGGTGAGAGTGGGATGTTGAAGTCTCCCACTATAAGTGTGTGGGTTTTATGTGTGATTTGAGTTTTAGTAATGTTTCTTTTATGAATGTGGGTACCTTTGTATTGGGGGAATAGATGTTCAGAATTTAGACTTAATTTATACGGATTTTTTTCTATGATGAATATGAAATGACCTTCCTCATCTCTTTTGATTGATTTTAGTTGAAGTCTAATTTGTTAGATATTAGGATTGCTACACCAGCTTGTTTCTTGGGTGCATCTGTTTGGAAAATCTTTTCCCAACATTAACTTTTTGAAAACATACAAAGAATGAAAAAGTCAAAGCCGATTTATTTCACAATCATTTATAAACATAGAAAATAAAGTGCTTACATATGTACTTGCTACCTCAAAGAAAATATAAAGTTGTATCAAATTATAATAAAGTGTTAAATCACAAAATAAATAGATAGATAAATAAATAAACAAGTTGGAATGGATGGAGAACAAATGTCTTACAGATAAACACAGTATTGCTAATCGCTGCTGAAATATTTAGGCAGGTTCATTGAGTTCAGGACAAGATAAGTGAGAATTTTGAGACTGCAGAATCTCAGCAGTGAGGTGCAGTGTCCTAGTCCAGGAGAGTCCTCTCCACTTTGCTCAGGACTTATTTCTTCTCCTCACCCAATCTTGCAAGCAAGTTGGCTGAGGAAGACAGGGCTCTCCAGACTTCTGCTCTGACCACCTCCCAGGCACAGGGGCTGTGGTTCTTCTCTCTCAGGTAGACAGTGATCCTGTGGAAGTATTTCCTCACAGCCACCAGGGAGTCTTCCTGGCTCAGGGGAGGTTCTTGCTCCCCCACCTGCTGCATCAAACAGGCTTGCAGGTCACTGAGCTGCTGGTGAAGGCCAGTGCAGAATGTGTCTAGGAGGGTTGTCTCCCAAGCAGCAGATGAGTCCTTTGAACTGAAGAGGATCAGGACCTGCTGGGTCAGCTCCTGCAGGACAGGAATAGCTTGAGCCTTCTGGATCTGCTGGGCATCCACGTTCTCCAGAGGGAATGCAAAGTCCTTTCTGTCCTTCAGGCAGGAGAGAGGGGAGAGTCTCCTCATTTGTGCCAAGAGTGTCAAGGCTCTCTTGTTCCTGAGGTTGTGAGTCTGAGGCAGGTCACATCCCAGAGAGCAGGTTGACCAGTAGCTCATCACCACCAGGGCCATCAGGAAAGCACAGAGCCTGGGCATTGTGGATATTGCAGATGCTGCTGGTTCTCTGGGCTGTGTGGTCCTGAACCTTCCCCTCTAGATTCTCTGAAGACCATGCTGTGAGCAGCTATCTTTAATAGGGAAACACTAGCTTCCATTTTCTGAATGCCCTCCCCTTCTCCACAATTCTGTTTTCACTTTTTTTTTTTCATTCATTCTCTGCTTGTGTCTGGGCATTTTCTCACCCATTTTTGTTTTCATCATTGCTTCCTCTTTCACTGCTCTCCTAAACCAATCTGCATCAGAGGTTTTCTATCTCTAAATGCAATTGTCATTAACTTATAACCACACATATACATTCAACTTTTGAAATTTACACACATATTGTAAAGTTCTTCTAAAATTGTAACCAAATATATTTAAATTCAGTTTGAATTATAGTTAAATTATAATTTAATTTCTGTTATTTATATCAAGTACAAAATTTTAAATTATAATCTAAGGTATGATTCATATTAATTGTTTCTAAATTTAAAAGGTCAATGGTTAAATGGTTAAATGGTTTACTTTAAATTTTTCCAATGTTTAAATGGTTCAAATTATTTTCTTCAAATTCCTTCATTAACTTTAATGTTAACTTATATGTATGTTTAATTTAATAATCATTGTATAATAGCTACTTATTCAATGATTCATGTCGTCATGAGGTCTCCATGTGTAAAGGCTTGCTGTCCAAGCTGAAGGAGCTGAGCTTGATTCCTGAAACACATGGTGAAGAGTAGAGTGCTGAGTCCTGTAGTTTGTCCTCTAACCACCACATTCATGTTGTGGCAATCTTGAGGCTGCCCTCTCTCTCTCTCTCACTCTCTCTCTCTCTCTCATACACACACACACACAAACACACACACACACACACACACACAATACATTCCCACACCTACACACACATACATACACACACACACACCTACACACATACTCCAGCATATAAACATACAGACACACACACACAGCATCACACACAGAAATACACATTCATAGACATTCACATAAACACACACACAAAACACTCACATTCCCATACACCTGAGTACACATTCCCACACACAAATGCACTCACATACACATTTACACTTTCATACACGTACACACACCCACACAAACACACACATATGCACACACACATACACACCCTCATACACTGGTGCACAAACACATACATGCTCACATAATGCTCTGTCTCTCTTTGTCACACACACACACTTATAAACAATGCTCACACACACAGTCCCAATCATACACAAGAGTAATAGGAAGTAAACATCTCAAACTAAAATTCCTGTGAGGGTGTTTTTGTTTGTTTGTTTGTTTGTTTGTTTTTTCTTGTTGAAGTGAGAAGATCCACTTCTAATCAGGATCTTTAAGAGGGGAAGGCACACCTTTTATCTGGATCTTTGAGGTGGGACCACTCACTTTTAACCCAGATCTTTAAGGTATAAAGATCCACCTCTGTGCTGAGGCACACCTTCTCCTGGAATCCCATAGAAGACATGAAAGAAGGAAGGAAGCTTTTGATCTTTGCCTGCTTACTCTCACCTCAATAGCAAGTCCATTCCTTAATTGGCGTTAGAGCCTACTTCTTTTGGACTCCAGTGTCTTAGGAAGACCAGGTTAGACATGCAGCCTCATTGGGTGAATAAGTCCATAAAGATAAGGTTCTAAAGTTTTGTGACAAATGAAATTTTTTGTTTTGAGATGTTATTACTCTAATACTCTGGTGTATTACTAGGAGTGTGCGTATGTGTTTGTGCGATCATTGTGAATAGGCCTGTGTGTATGTGTGTATACAGCAGTGTATTATGGGTGTATATAGGTGTGTGTGCATAAGTGTGTGAATATATGTGTGTGTTTGAGTGTCTGGGTTGTGTACATGTATGAAAGTGTAACAGTGTATGCAAGAGCCTTTGTGGGGGGAAATGTGTACTTATGTGTGTGGGAGTGTGTGTGTTATGTGTGTGTATTTATGTGATTTCTGTGAATGTGTATGTCTGTGTATGATGATGATGATGTGTGTGTATATGCTGGAGTGTGCGTGTAGGTATGGGGTGTGTATGTAGGTGGGGATGTATATGTATATGTGTTTGTGTGTGTGAGAGTGAGTGTGTATGCAGCCTCGAGATTGCCACAACATGAATGTGGTGGTCAAAGGACAAACTACAGGACTCAGCTCCTCCAGCTTGGACAGCAAGCCTTTATATTTTGAGACCTCATGATGACATGAATCATTGATTAAGTGGCTAATATACAATGATTATTAAATTAAGTATACATACAAGTTAATATTAAGGTTAGTGAAGGTAATAATTTTAACCCTTTAAACACTGGAAAAATTTAAAGTATACCATTACATTGACATTTTTTATTCAAAAACTTATTTTTCATTTTACATACCAACCCCATTTCTCCCTACCTCCCCTTCTACTGCCCCTCTGCCTCCTCCCTTCCCACCCCCATTCACTCCTTAGAAGATATAAAGCTTTCCTTGGGAAGTCCACAAAAGTCTGGCATACCAAGTTGAGATAGAACCAAACCCCTCCCCCATTTTCAAGGTTGAGAATGTTTCCCACTAAAGGGAATGGGCTCCAAAAGCCAGCATTCTGTGGTGCCACTCCAGCACCCCCCAACAGATCAAGTCACATAGCTGTTACCCACATTCAGAGGGCCTAGTTCAGTCCCATGCAGGTTCTCGAGCTGTCAGTCCATAGTCCATGAGCTCCCACTAGCTCGGGTCAGCTGTCTCTATGGTTTTCCCCATCATGGTCTTGACCCCCCTGTTCATAATATCTCTCCTCCCTCTCTTCAGCTGAACTCCAGGATTTCAACCCAGTGCTTGGCCCATTAGATTGACATTTTTAAATTTTGAAACAATTAATATGCATCATACCTTAGATTATAATTTAAAATTATGTACTTGATATAACAACAGAAATTAAATTATGAGCTGAATTTCAATATCTTTGGTTATAATTTTTAGAAGAACTTTGTTTTTACAATATGTGTGTAAATTTCAAAAGTTGAATGTATATGTGTGGTTATAAGTTAATGACAATTGCATTTAGAGATAGAAAACCTCTGATGCAGATTGGTTTAGGAGAGCAGTGAAAGAGGAAGCAATGATGAAAACAAAAATGGGTGAGAAAATGCCCAGACACAAGCAGAGAATGAATGAAAAAAAAAAAGTGAAAACAGAATTGTGGAGAAGGGGAGGGCATTCAGAAAATGGAAGCTAGTGTTTCCCTATTAAAGATAGCTGCTCACAGCATGGTCTTCAGAGAATCTAGAGGGGAAGGTTCAGGACCACACAGCCCAGAGAACCAGCAGCATCTGCAATATCCACAATGCCCAGGCTCTGTGCTTTCCTGATGGCCCTGGTGGTGATGAGCTACTGGTCAACCTGCTCTCTGGGATGTGACCTGCCTCAGATTCATAACCTCAGGAACAAGAGAGCCTTGACACTCTTGGCACAAATGAGGAGACTCTCCCCTCTCTCCTGCCTGAAGGACAGAAAGGTCTTTGCATTCCCTCTGGAGAACGTGGATGCCCAGCAGATCCAGAAGGCTCAAGCCATCCCTGTCCTGCAGGAGCTGACCCAGCAGGTCCTGATCCTCTTCAGTTCAAAGGACTCATCTGCTGCTTGGGAGACAACCCTCCTAGACACATTCTGCACTGGCCTTCACCAGCAGCTCAGTGACCTGCAAGCCTGTTTGATGCAGCAGGTGGGGGAGCAAGAACCTCCCCTGAGCCAGGAAGACTCCCTGGTGGCTGTGAGGAAATACTTCCACAGGATCACTGTCTACCTGAGAGAGAAGAACCACAGCCCCTGTGCCTGGGAGGTGGTCAGAGCAGAAGTCTGGAGAGCCCTGTCTTCCTCAGCCAACTTGCTGGCAAGATTTGAGTGAGGAGAAGAAATAAGTCCTGAGCAAAGTGGAGAGGACTCTCCTGGACTAGGACACTGCACTTCACTGGTCAGGTTGTCCATTCTCAAGATTCTTAATTATTTTAGCACAAACTCAAAGAACCTGCCTAGGTGCTTCAGCAGTAATGAGCAATACTGTGTCTACCTGTAAGTCATTAGTTCTCTATCCATTCTTATTTATTTATTTATTTATTTATTTATTCATTTATGTGACTTAACTTACTCTATTATACTTAGATACAATTTTATATTTTCTTCAAGGTAGCAAGTACATATGAAAACACTTTATTTTCTGTGTTCTATAATGATTGCAAAATGGATCTGCTTTGCCTATTTTACTATTTACATGTTTTCAAAACAATTTAATGTTTGTACATAAAAGCATTTGTTCCTGCATTGATTCAGGCATTTCTATGTATATAGGTTATTATTTATTTTACTATTTATATCATTTAACTTATTTACACTATATCTAACAGTTATATGTTGTCTTTTCTGTAACAAACCATCATATGTAATTAAATTATTTTATATTCAATAAATTTGCTATATAAAACACTTCTGATTTATTAATTCTTTATTTTTTTCCATTTTCCAATGTTTTTCAGTTTATACTCTACACCATAAACATCACACAAGTGAACAGTGTCCAAAAATCATACAGGTTACATGTGCATACTGCATAGTGTTTAGACAAACCCTAAATCTGTTTCTCTACATCTCTCCAGTATATAGTACTCTTCTGGATGTGCAGCCAGCATGCTGTGCAGTGGAAAGCCAGAGAATGTTGCTCCTGTCACATTGTGACTTAGTCCTCTTTGACCTAATATTCTAATATTAATTCCCCAATTAATCCTCCCTCAGGCTTCATTGACCTCTGGTACCTATCATCTACTCTCAACTCCTACAAGTTTAACAGTTTTGGGTTCTGAATATGAGTGAGATCATGTACAGTGATATAAAACAGATCACAGAAAATCATTAGCCTTCCTATATAACATGGACAAACACAACAGGGAGAAACCAGGAAATCAACCTTATTCATAATGGCCTCATGAAACAT